AGGCGCAAAGCTACACAGAGAAACCCTGTCTCGAAAAAACCAAAAAAAAAAAGAAAACAGGAGTCTGAATTCTCCTTTATTTTGTAACTACTTAGAAAAACGGTCCAAGATCTTGCTGACTACTAATTAAAGCCTCAGGGTCAATGGTGACAGTGTGCTGGGAGGACACTGACCATCTTTTGTGACAAACTTCTCCTGAGACTTGAAGTTACCTTTGAAAATGCTTTTATTTTTTATAATGGTCTAGATGTTAATTTTGGCCAGACTTCAACTGCAACACACACACACACACACACACACACACACACACACACACACACACACACACACAGTTTTAGTGATAGAACTAGGACCTCACACTTGGTAGGCAAGAACTCTATCACTGAATTATAGCCCCAACTCAAAATGCACAAAGATATTTAGGCAACATCATGACAAAGAAAAAAGGAATACACGCAGGTAGAAAAAAATACTGAATTCTGAATGGCATCAGTTAAAAAATGTATTTCATAATGTGTAAATATGCTTTAAAAACTGCCTTGGTTTAAAATTATCTATTTCTGTAGGCCAAGAATACTACAGACCTGATATAGACAGCTGTTGATCTATTATGGAAATTAAGAATAATGTAAGCTAGCCAGGTGTGGTAGCTCACACCTTTAATCCCAGCATTTGGGGGGCAGAGGCAGGCAGATCTCTGTGATTCCAGGCCAGCCTGGTTTACAGAGTGAGACTTCACCTTAAACCAACCAACCAAAACCAACTAACCAACCAACCAACCAACCAACCAACCAAAAAAACCAACCAACTAACCCACCCACCCACCCCAATATTCAAGTCAGATAATGAATTAATAATGACCTATAGGTGATTTGTTTAAAGTAACTAGTAGTAATATTTGCCATACATATTTATGGTATTATTGTATCAAAAATATAGAGTACTTACAAGAGCAATTTTTCTCTGGTTAAGATGAGAAACCACACAGATGTCTTGTAAGACATACATGTGTATGTGATCTTTAGTAAGGATGGGTTAACAGTTATCATGGTAGCAATAGTAACTGTATCACAAACAGCAACACAAGGAAAAGGTCCCTTAGGCCATTTTTTCTACTAATGATGCTATATTAAATAAGTCATGTAAATTAAATCAACTCTCCCCCAAACCTTAATGAAATGACCTCCATTGAATCTACACAGGAAGACCTGTCAGGCACTAATCAAAGCTCTGTGAGCATCATGACGTCACCTGGAAATGGATGGTCTTCTCAGCACTTGTTTTCAATACATCACAACACTCTCATTTCAAGCAATAACTAAACCCAGGCAGCTGCTTCATATCTACATACTTTTAGAAGGAGCTTGCAGATTTCATACTTTCCCTTGGCTGCTGCTTCATGGAGAGGAGTAAATTTCCACAAGTCTGCCACATTGACAGAAGCCCCATGCCTCACCAAGAGCTCAGCTACCTCGTAGTGTCCATAGGAGCAGGCATTATGAAGGGGAACCAAGCCACTAAACAAAAGAAAAGTAGAGTCACAAAACAGATCGGATCTTCCAGCTAAAATAACTCTTTAATAACATGTTCTTTTGCTGGACAGGGTGGCACATGCCTATAATATTGGTACTTGGGAGGCAAAGGCAGGAGTTCAAGGTCATCCTCAGCTACAGAGAGATTTCAACTTAGCACAAGCTACATGAATGAGACTGCCTCAAATCCTCCTCACACCCTTCTATGGAATTGGGTATATTGAACATGCACTCAGATAGAAATATTTCCTCTTTGGTCTCTAAGATACGGGCTCCCATTTCTAGGCAAGGACTAACAACGTTTATTATTTACTGTGGTGGGTATGTGTGCCATGGCACATGTGGAGGTCAGAGGACAACCTTGAGTCAAGCTTTCTCCCTTCCCCTTTATGCATGTTCTAGGGTTGGAACTCAGTCCAGCAGGCTTGCACAGCAGGTGTCTTTACCTGCTAAGCCATCTCACCAATTCAAACATAATAATTAAAAAATTTCAAATATAAAGTCTTCTTGTATCACAGCAATCATTAGTATTGAATACATGTAGATATACATATTCACAGAATAAAATACAATCACAATACTCTTTTTTGGTAGTGCTTGGATTAAAACCCAGGGTTTCATGCGTGCCAGGGTACTCTACCACTGACTACACACCCAACCGTTTTTATGTTAAGATAGGTATTATTGAACTCGTTCTATAAACCGAGCAAGCACTGAGTTCAAATCCCACTGTCTCAGCCTCCCAAGCGGCTGGGACCCCAAGCCTGCTTACCATCTGAGCAATGCAAAGCTCTGCATACTACAAAGTACTAGCACAGATCCTAACCAAGCTGTTTTATCATCTCTCAGATTTTCTTCAATTTGGATTTTACTAATGAAAATTCCTGGCTTACTTATATGATACACAATACACAAGAATGTAATACGCAATACATAAAATATACAAGACATTCAACTTATTTAGTTGGCAACTTTCACCATTTGTTTTAGTTATGTTTAAATTCATAATGATTCCATAGTATTTTCTCTGCACAACTTAAATGTTGAGGTAGAAAGCAATGAAAACTCTAAGTGATTTCAGAAGGGAACCCACACTGGTGTGGTGTGCACGCCTTAGTCCCAGCACTTAGGAGGCAGATGCGGTAGAGCTCTGTGAGTTTGTAGTCATCCTGGTCTACACATAGCAAGTTTCAGGACAGCCATACCACAGAGTGCTGTGGGACGGTCTGTATGTCAAATTGCTCTGATTGGTCAATAAATAAAACACTGGTTGGCCAGTGGCCAGGCAGGAAGTAGGTGGGACAAGGAGAGAGGAGAATTCTGGGAAGCAGAAGGCTGAGGCAGAGAGACACTGCAGCCGCCGCCATGACCAGCAGCATGTGAAGATGTCGGTAAGCCACCAGCCACGTGGCAAGGTATAGATTTATGGAAATGGATTAATTTAAGCTATAAGAACAGTTAGCAAGAAGCCTGCCACGGCCATACAGTTTGTAAGCAATATAAGTCTCTGTGTTTATTTGGTTGGGTCTGAGTGGCTGTGGGACTGGCGGGTGACAAAGATTTGTCCTGACTGTGGGCAAGGCAGGTGGAAAACTCAAGCTACAAATGGCGCCCAACGTGTTGGCAAGAGTTTCTACCTAAAACCTAAAAAGATTCTAAAATGGAACTAAAAACAGCTTCCTAATTGTCTCTCTCAAATGAGCGGCAGCCTGCCGGTTTGAGCTACTGGCGGGTTCCTGGCGTGGGAGCTCGATCTGCAGTATGGCGGGAATTAGGCCTCTGCAAGTGACACATTAAGCTGCATGGTGGATTTAGCCTTTGCTAGTACAAAACAAAAAGAGGTTTCTGGGCTACACGCTGCTTGGATAAAAGCACAGACCCACGATGGCTCCCAGAGCTGGCAAAAAACGTAACACCGCCATGTTGGGAAGCTGAAGTGGGCGGAGCCAGCAGCCACAGCGCTGTTTCAGGCTTAAAAGGCTGCAGCTTAAAGCAATAGGCTCAAGGTAATATAAAAAATAAGCCACATGAAGATGGCTACCACACAGAGAATCTGGATTATGTTCTCTTTGATATTCGTAACTGAAGAGAAACATTTGATTGCAAAAGCTGTTGAGTTATGCCAAAATGTGTGTTTTAAAGGTACCTTAACTTCAAAATTTGGATGTAAGGATTTGTTGCTTTGGAAAGGAGGCTCTGCTTTTGTTTCCACAGAAAGCCAGAGGCTATGGATTTGTTCCAGATTAAGATACATCAGGTTTGACCAGCCAAGACCACCTGAAAGGTCTCCGATGACACCATGGCCCAGATGATCCAACATCCAGAATCGTTTCAAGGCAACTGGCTCAGATGATTCGGTCTCACGGACTACTCCATGATCCTAAAATTTTCTTTGTGTCCCCATAAGATACAGCGCCCCCCTCCAGCAGGAAGTAGTAAGAGAAGCTACGCCCAAATTCCCAAATATACCAAGCTGACTTTGGAGATGTACAAAAGTTCAAACCTTCCTTTTAAAAAAAAAGAAAGGGGAAGTGCTGTGGGACGGTCTGTATGTCAAATTGCTCTGATTGGTCAATAAATAAAACACTGGTTGGCCAGTGGCCAGGCAGGAAGTAGGTGGGACAAGGAGAGAGGAGAATTCTGGGAAGCAGAAGGCTGAGGCAGAGAGACACTGCAGCCGCCGCCATGACCAGCAGCATGTGAAGATGTCGGTAAGCCACCAGCCACGTGGCAAGGTATAGATTTATGGAAATGGATTAATTTAAGCTATAAGAACAGTTAGCAAGAAGCCTGCCACGGCCATACAGTTTGTAAGCAATATAAGTCTCTGTGTTTATTTGGTTGGGTCTGAGTGGCTGTGGGACTGGCGGGTGACAAAGATTTGTCCTGACTGTGGGCAAGGCAGGTGGAAAACTCAAGCTACAACAGAGAGAGACCTTTGTCTCAAATTAACCAAACTCTAAACCTTCTCCCCCTAAGAAAGAAGAGAATTCACCAAGGGAAATAAAGACTCTTCACTATAAATTCTACTCGGCTAAGAGAGCCTAGCGCCCTCCTCTTCTGAGGCAGGTAACTCTCACAGATGACTACGTTTTCAAGGAAAGCAGGCGGCATTCTAACCAGTAAAGATACCCTCTCAAGTCAGTGCACTGAAGGGTCAGCTGAAGTTGACGCAGGACACGGTAAAAACAAGACACCCAGTGCCGTTCCAGCTAGAAATGAGTGTCGTCTACGGATGGCTTTAGGGTGAGATCTGCTGGCACTAGTGAGTCACAGAAGCAGACCCTGGCTGCTCTCCAATGTACTAACAGTGTTTCCAAACAAGTAGTGACGCTGCTCTCACGCTGTCAGTATGGTGCACTACTTTAGAAAGACAAACACACAATGGTCACCCGAAGCCTAAGCCAGGCACTTCAGTGATAGCTCTATGCTAAGCAAGTGCCCAAACAGGGCTGGCTGATCTGAGCAGGTGCAAAATGAACTCAGAACATGGAAATTCAGTTTGGCAAAAATATTCTTCTTATATTTCTAAGCAGCTGCTTTAAAAGTTTTACCTGGTTTGTCACATAATTCATCTAATATAAAAATACAGACAATTTAAACTAGTAGAAGCAGAATTATATTTCTATTAATACTAGTGATTCTGGGATGGACTGAATTCTTTTTAGAAGAAATCATCTACTTTTAATAGGAAAAAATATAATGAGAGGATGAATGTAGATTACAAATTACATACAAACATTCATAATTGAAATAAAATCCTGCACACAGGCATGCAAAGGATGCACCAAGTCAGAAGACATCCCACATCTCCTCCTGGGTGAGACCTATCTACTGCACAGTGCAAATTCCCAGGTGCTGAGTGACGAGAGCTCACACCAAGTGACTCACAATTGGTGTACACACCAAAGACACAGCTGGAGAATTCCAGGCAAACTGCTCAGTTTACATCTCTAGGGCGTGGGCTGAGAGAACCTTCACTTTTATACTGCATGTTTGTTTAAGTTATGATTAAAATGAAACGTATATTGTTTTAGTGGGAAAGCACCTACAACATCAAAACACATGATGTTTACAAAAGGGCTATCTGTCATTTGTAAACTTTCTTGTACTAAAGAAAGCAGTTAAGTTCTGTAGATAAAAATTACATAATTTTATAGCAAATATAAGTAAACAGATTAAGTATGAGGAGACTGAAGCTCAAAGATCTGGACTTGAACACATACCCTTTGTCTTTGGCATGGACATCAGCTCCGTGGTGGAGAAGGTACTCCACAACAGACACACGGTTATAGCCCGCGGCAAAGTGCAGGGGTGTCGAATGCCGGCCCTCCAGATCTCTGCAGTTCACGTTCTGCGGGCTGCAGAGTTGCTGTTGTGGTGTATGCAGACACACAGAGAGACACAACACCATTACCAATCATTCACAGATTCTGCTCTAAAATTGTGCAGCATTTTAGATCACTATAATTATACGGTCAATATTCTCCAGATGAGATCATTAAAATGCTAAAAATTAGCACCATAGCCAGACATGGTGAGGCACCCCTAAAATCCCAGAGCCGGGGAGGATGAGACAGGCAGATCTTCAATTTGGGGGCCAGTGTGGGTTACACAGTGAGTTTGAGGATAGTCTGGGTCACATGCTGTTTCCAAAGACCCCAAAGGAGAACTGGCGGTACGGTGACCACAAACACTTTCAGTATATACAGAAGAATTTCATCTCTGTCAGCGTGCCCTAGCCCAGTCTCTCGTCCATCAGAAACCTCCTGTCTCATGCGTCCATCTCCCCTTCCCAAGACTACTCATCACACACGAGTTCTTACGGTATGCTTAGCTGCTCTCTGCTCAAGTCCACTAGAGCTGACTCCAAGGAACTAAAGAAACTAAAGAGAGCTCCTGTCTCCTGGAATGGGGGTCCAGAGAAACTTGCTTTTTAGTACTCACAAGCTCTTGATTCTACCCGTTTCTTGCTGAATGTCAAAGCAACTGTATATGCCGGTTTTCACACTTTAACATACTTTAGACAATGAACAGCCCTTTCCTCCACTTCTCCCTCTAATTCTCTCTTCCCCTCCCCTAGGAGGTGGTGGGGAGGGAGGAGAGGGAGAATATCACTCTCATAGTGCAGGCTATCCCAGAAGTCACAGTAATGTGCCTGCCTCAGCTTTCTAGGGGGGGGATGAAAGGCATGAGTTATCACACCCAGCTAACTTCTAATACTTTCTTAGTCTTTTGAGAAAGAAATATACTAGACTGAATTCTCAATTTGTATGTCTTCTTTGGACACTTACATTCCATTATCAAAAATAAAATTTTCCTTTATTGTGAATGCACTGTTTAGGAACTTGAAAGCACATACTGCCTACCTCATACAGACAGATGAAATTAAAATTTGTATTCTGGGCCAGCAAAATGGCTCATGGGGTAAAGGCACCTGGTACTGTGCCTGACAGCCTGAATTAATTCCCAGGTTCCCCGTGGTGGAAGGAGAAAACTAACTCTAGAAAGCTGTCACTTCCATACATGCCCACGGCCCATGTGCACACATGCACACACACACACAGAAACTAGAATATTTATTACAGTTGATGTAATACAAGTGTGTGTGTGTATATCCTAATTTTTTTTATGGTTTAGGTGCTATAAGGCACAAACTGGGAAAATCTTAGTAGCGGAGAACTCTCCTGTCTGTAGACACAGTGTTGATTGTTTGTAAATCTTAAAAAACAACTGTCTGTTTTTGAGCAGCAGATGTGTCAAATGAACTGGGCAGGAACAGCAAAGGCGCCATTTTACCTTCACGGTTTCCAAGTCTCCAGCTTTGGATGCCTCCAGCAGTCGATAGTCCACATCCGAAGTACGTATAGGGGTACTCTCTGTATCCAAGAAAGCAAAGATTATGTTGGCTTTTGGGGTACTGTATGCAGCTACGGAAGGAGATTGTTTGGTGAGGGAAGAGAGATTAAGGCTGGACATGTCTGTGATATAATGGTTACTCTCCCAGTCTTACTCAGATGAGTACTTTTTACCTCAATTTACATCTTCCCAAAGTCAAATTTCAATAATTCTAACACAGGGGAACACTTTTGTTTTTGTTTGTTTGTTTTTCAAGACAGAGTTTCTCTGTGTAGTTTTGGTGCCTGTCCTAGATCTCACTCTGTAGACCAGGCTGGCTGCGAACTCACAGAGATCCACCTGGCTCTGCCTCCCAAGTGCTGGGATTAAAGGTGTGTGCCACCACCGCCCGGCAGGGGAACACTTTTATGCTCCACCACTCTCGTCATCAAATGTTCTGGGTAACAACTGTGTCCATCATGGGCTCTGAGAGTGATCTCAGGTGGTCAGCCTTGCTTAGCTAGCACCTTTAACCACTGAGCCATCTAGCCAGCACAATACCTTAGCTTCTGCATTTCAAGAGTGAGCCTGCTTGTCCTCAAAGTCTCTTTCCGGCTTCAGATTACATTATGCTATGAACAGACACTGAGTTCAGGGTCCAAGTGGGAAGATCAAGCGATGCTAGAAACGGCTTTAGAGTTTAGAAGAAACACTCCAGGTTTTCTGTAGTGCTTTGTTCAGAAGGGGGACTTTTATAGATAAGTTTAAGAATTCTTCAATAGAAGACAAACTATTTGATCATATTAATAATACTCAGCAGATAAAATACCAAGACTACAGAGGAAAAAAGAATATCTCAAACAATGAAGTACATTTTAAAGAATGTGTTCTATTGCGTTTGTTAGTCTGTGGAGTGGCTAAGTACTAGACCTGGGTCCTTGCTCCCATTATATTTCCTTTGCACAAACACAACAACTCAAAAAGTATTTGCCAAGTTGATTTTGGGCGACTTCATATCAGAATCAATGTGTCTCTAAACCTAATTCTCGGCTGCCTGTATTCGCCTCCTTCCTGGTCCCCAGAATCCATCCTAACAGTGCATGTATATGACTGCACTGACAGGTGAGCGAGGCTGATCTGCAACACTCTACCATGTCTCTAGGAGAGTGCTTCCAGCCTTTGTGTCTTCAGGTTATTCCTGACAGCATGCTGATGGGAATGACTAGGAAAGGGCCATTTTTCTAGTCAAGCAAAATACCTCGTGCACATACTAGAGCGCTTAGAGAACTACAGGAAGGTCAGAGAGTAAAGCTTGAACGTGCTGACTTCTACGACAGCAACCGCGCAGCTCCGCATCTGCATAAATCTAACACTAAGTTCAGAACAGGCTTGTCTGGGGCTTGGTAGGCAGATCCAGCTACTGCAGTAGGTGAGGCATGAATATTACAAATCCAAGGCCTGTCTAGATTACAGAGGGAGTTCAAGGCTAGCATAAGCAACTTAGTCAGACTGTGTCTTAAGATTGAAAAGCAAAAAGAGATCTGGGAATGTACAAATATCAGTATAAAAGAACCCTCAGTATTCTCTTCCAAGAATAAAGTAATTCTGATTAAAAGGCTCTATTTCAGACAGCTCTATTATTTGCATTATCTTTCTTGATCAATAATGAATATGGCAAACTGAGTCCTACCATTTCCTAAATTAAGCATTTAGTTAACTATGTGCATCACAAATCAATTTTAGAGTAGAATTATAAAAGTAACTGAAACTTTTTATTTATGATTCCATATTCAATTTCATTTCCCCCAGAAGTCGTATATTTGAAATGCATTTACTTAGCAGGCATTTTAAAGGCATTATATAGATCCAATTTGTTGGATTTATTTGATGCTTCATCCCCATTCTGTTAACCACTGTTAAAATTTATGTACAGTACTGTGAGAAATTGACGCAGTAGCTGTATGTCTGTTTACTTATAGTTATAACTCACAGAAAGTAAAACTCAGTAGTGAATGATTCCCAGTAAAAAGCACAAAAGAATGTTTCATAAAAACCCAATTTATAAAATGATAACAGCTTCCTAGTGGGGGAGTAATATCCTATCTTCCTGCAGCAGATACAAGACAGGTGTTTACTATTCAAGATCAAACCCTATCCATAGTCTGGTGGTGAGGACTGGTGGAAAGGCCAGTGGACGAGGAAGACGAGTAACTATATTGAATCCTTTAGCGTCTAGTTCCTAAGTTTTCAGTAGGCTGTCACTTCTAATTCTGGGAGCCAGGAAGCCGGAATCTATCTTCCTATCAGTTTTATGCATGCTCTGTCTACAAATCTAAAAACTGAAGCAGAATGATTGGCATGTAAGAATGGACTGCAGAGGGAGGGGGGGCCTTACCGAGTTTTCAAGGTTGTAAAATCAGTTCCTAAGATTGTTTCCCTCCCACAGCATTAACACACCCACCACCACCATGCGCCCCGAGAGAGTCTGTGCTTCTCAACTGGCCTGTATTTCTCAGAAGGTCTTAAAAACATTTGTGGGGTCAATTCTGGTCCTTGAGCATTGTGGCAGGCAAGCTGTTATGTAATAACTGTAAGATTTACTGTAGCTGACTATCACTTGCCTCCTCATATTTGGATCTTTCAATATAGATACTTAGGAAGTTTTAATGTAGTTTTTGAGTAGTCAGATCAAGTAATGTATCAATAATCTTACGAGTTTTACTTCTGGATAGAGGGTGTCATAAGATACCTGCTATACAGGAGACCCTGTGCCTACAGAGCTCGGGTGTACTGCTTACAGGCAACAGAGTGGCCAGGCTCTGACCACCAGGCTACAGCTATCTGTTTCTCTTTTAGTTTCTGTTCGTCTACAGTAGATGGAGTCGGGACAAAGGCAAATGAGTGAAAAAGACGAGTAACTATAGTGAATTCTTTCACGTCTAGTTCCTAAGTTTTCAGTAGGCTGTCACTTATAATTTTCAGAGTTAGGAAGCCGGTGCCTATTTTCCTATCAGTTTTATACATGCTCTGTCAACAAACTAAGTATCTCACACTATAGTGTGCATTCATTGTAACATTCACCAAAAGTTGGCAATTACATTTAATCCATGAAAATTCCAGACAATTTCAGAATAGTTAATGACAAGTAGGTCAGACTACTATACATACAAGAACAACTAAAAGTCATTACTATGGAAATTTAACTTATTCCCTTCATTTGGTAGATTTTATAGATACCATAATTCTAGCTTGCACCAGATTTTCAACTCTAAACCAACCAACCCAAAAATGGTGTAGATCTTCTCCTGACACTTCCTCATCCTACCAAAAAACAGACATAGAAAAGAATATAGGCTAAACCGAAAACAAAACAAAACACCCTAAAAAACCATAAGCAAGGAAAGGTGTGGCAAACAAGCGCTCAAGTCAGGTCAGGTCAGCTCAGGTTGGGCGGCACCCAGCCTGGGTGAGCAGGAGAGGGGTTGGGAAAGTGGAAGCCGGCCGATGGAACTCACCGCTCAGAATCTGCTGTACCGCTTCATTGCCCATCTGAGCTGCTGTAAAGCCTTGCAGGGAGATGATGGAAGGGTCAGAGCCATAACTCAACAGGAGACGACAAGTCTGCAGATGGCCTGCTAAGGCAGCTCTGTGCAAAGCAGTCTGCCCAAGACTGTCCAGTGCATTCATCTGAAAAATCATTGGGTGGCACATGAAGTCAGGCATTCTTTCCCACTGTAGCAAATACACTCTTAGGATAAAAGCCAACAGTAAAACTTTTTGGGAAAATGGCATTAACTTTTGCTTACTAGTACTACAGAAATAGCTTCGCCTTAGTGGCCCGAGTGTGTGGGAAAAATTAAGACCACAGAACACCCCTGACATCTTGCTGCCACGCTCCACTCAGAAGAAAGGATGGGAGGTTTTGGAGGGTGGGGACTCTCACCTGGTGTTCACTGCTGGCCACACTGGAGACATCCACCAAACGTCTCAGAATGAACAGCGTGATCACATTCAGAGTACCAAGACAACAGACTACACATGCAAAGACTGATAATGTAGTTTATTACACTTCTTTTTAATTAGGAATGCCTTATATTCTGGTTGAGTATCCCTAATCAGAGGTGTTTCCAATTTCAAATTGTTTATGTTTGAGGGTATCTGTACATACATAATGAGATATCTTGGAAACAGGATCCACATCTAAATACAAACTTAATTTGTTTCACATGTACTTTGTACACATAAGCTGTGTGCCTGTGTTGTGATTGTGGTGCATTTCATGAGTTCAAGTGTGAAATTTTCCATTGTATGTTGATAATTCAAAAGTTTTGATTTTGGAGCATTACAGATTTCCTATTTTCAGGTCATGGATGCTCATCCTGCAACAGCTACCTTAATTAAGAATACATTTGACTGGGAATTGCCTTGAGGATAAGATGTTCCATTTTCAAACCTTTAAGAGTGTATACAGGAAACAGTAATTTAGTTACGTTGAGTAAATGTTCAGCTTTTCTGTTATGTTCATTATTTGGTCATATCTAACTAGTCTAGCATTTTAGAATGTTCCAGTAGACACCTGTGCCTCCAGTCAGATCAACTGTACAGCTGCTTTCAGAGAACCCCTTCTCCAAGTCCTCCGTCATCCCTCGAGGCCTCAGCAACTAACCCCCTTTCTGAATGTCTGTGCTGACTTAGCACTTAGAAACTAGACCACAGGGGTAACTTTTCATCAAGTTTAATTAATGCTGTTGAAAATATGGACTGTCTTCTTGAAAGGCCTGAATAAGGGAATAACAGTACAATCTCAGATTTATGCTGGTTGTTCAAAACATTTCTGCACCTCCCACACCAGTAAGGTTAGGGTTTAAGAACTGGTCTGTTTCCAGTCCTTTGTCATTATTACTGCTACAGCTGTGGCACTGGTTCAGATAAAGGTTCGCTTAAATTCTTAATGGTTTTCAGAAAACTCACCATTAAATGGTATCACAATTAATTCTATCATATTTTCCAGTAGGAAAAAATGATTTTGTATATAGTAACAGTGAAGCATTGTTGTAAGTATTTACTTCTTAAGGGAAAACACAAGATGCCAAACCAGTTTTTGTATGAATGTTACTTCATTATAGAAGAATACACTCAGAACTGCAAACATCCTAATTATTCACACTTTTCTGGAAATTAGATGAGACATACTCAATTATACAGCTGTAAAAATGAATGGCAACAATGAACTCAAATTTAGTTTGTTAAATCATGTAAATATGGTTTGAGAGTTATTCTTGTAAAATACAGATCTTACCAAGTTAAGATCTCAAATTAATGACTCTAGTCCTTCAAATAAGGCTGAATCCTTAGCAAACAAACATTATGGGCAAGAGAGAGGATTTAAAGGTTTTCTGCAAACCTAGGGCCAGCCAGCTTCGCCTGCACTGCTGAAGCAGATCAACAGAACACAGACAAAGAACACACTGTAAATGTGTGGGACTGAGTGCTAGGTAAAACAGCCCATTCACATCCCCATCGCTCACTTACTCTGGGGAACTTCATGTCTTAATGAAAAAAACTTTATGTGCCAACGGTTCTCAGAACTAATTTGTAATACAAATTTTTAAGATTTAGTTTAAAAGTTCCAGTTGATAAGGACTGACTGATAATACTTGAACCTGACAAGTTGGTCATATACTGAAATTTCATGTTCTCTCTTCTACCCATATGAGATATTTAATCATTCCTTTAGGTGAGGCTTATTCTCTGATATCTTGGAAATTTTCATATCTATAAAGTATACAACACCAATGCAATGCAAAACTATTTTTACACACACACACACACACACACACACACACACACACACACACACACACACACACA